AAAAACAACTGTTTCCCAATATGAATTTTCAATTGGAAAATGGGGATTTTTGCAAAGCTAATACTCAAATGTCTGTATAACTATGCAGTCTTGGGTGAGTAACCGTCAGTACCTCTACTTACTGTACCTGGGCTTGAAACCGGTTCGAAATTCAGGAAATTTTTCATCCAATAAATTCATACACTTTTGAAGGCCCGTCTCCGTGGTGGGCTGAATAAGGACCAGCTGTTGCCATTGGCCCAAAGCACTCTTGCGTCTAGTCTCTGTCAGCTTTATGCGGCATCCGCTGACACGCGCGATCGACGCTATGCGTCGATCCTCTGGGTTGTTGAAGACCTTCAGATTCTCCGCCGGACATTCTATCCACAATTTATTGTCTTGCGAGGGCGCAGCACTTTCCTCCTTAGCCTTGTTTGAACTGCAATCGCTCGGGCTCCTCAGTCTGCTGGCTGCTCTTACTCGCCGAACTCGAACCACCGGCTTTTCCACGTTCTGGCGCTGTACTCTGCAGGCCTTCTCCATCAACTCGCAGCTCTTCTCAAGTTCTTCGAATTCTCGCAAACTCGCCGCCTCACTGTCACTGTCTTGTGTGTACCCGGAATGCCCGCCGTCAAGCCGTCCACGGACACTACTCGGTGCATTAACTGCACATTCGCCAAATGCATCTGGGACAACCAGGGAATGTGAAGCAGGCCAGGGCAATTCAGCGACTGCCTTCTCTGTAGCCTTAATGTCGGCAAGCATACAATGTTGCAGATATCTGCTTGTCCGAGCACTCTCGGCCACATCCCTCTCCAAAAGTTCGATAATTTCATCGAAGAGCCGACCATCTTTATCTTGACACCTCTGGGCTTTTTCTGCTGTCTTTGAATATGTATGCCTTATAGGAACATCGCCCTGATCAGTGGCCTCAAACTGAGAATCACTCTGGGTACTTGCCCTCGGACGGCCAATTGGGGGCTCTGTCTGCACAGCCACATCGAAGAACAGCTTGTCGAGGCTGCCTTCATATGTTGGTGTGAGGCGTTGCGACTTTCGGTGCCATTTGAATGGCAACCGTCCGGGTGTTCTCTGTCTCCCAGCAGAGGCGTAGACTGGTCGTGTCGCTCTTTGACCCATGACTCAGCAAATGCCCTTAGTTCAGCCGACTGCCGCTGTTGATTTGCATGATGATTTATCGATCGTTTGGTGTTTATCGATCCACTCCAGAACGCGCCGCCATCCTAGGTGCTGATAGCCTTGGAAAATGCCACATGAACCTGTAGCCTTCCTTCTAGGCGATGTGGTAGATAGAGGCGAGCTAGGTTTGCCTGTAAAATCCTTGATTATTAAGTATGGCGTCCAAAAGAAAGGCATGGCGAAATAGAGGCGAGACTGTTTGGAGATAAATTTCGCTAATTGCTATTCCTTTTAGCGCTTTGTGGATACAGAAATAAAAAACTTTTGAATTGTGCATTTTCTAAATTATTTAACTGTCGGTAGTATCATCTGCGCGAACTAAATTTATTTGCTGAAAGAAATAGGCATCAGAAGGGCAGTTGGCGAGCATACGTATACTTTCGATAAATTCTCTTCGGGCCATTTTTCATAATCCAGAAGGACAGTTGGCGAGCATACGTATACTTTCGATAAATTCTCTTCGGGCATTACATTTAAAGCAGTTAAAGGATCCCGCGGTGTTAAAGGCACTCAATGGGTACCTGCGTTTCAACACC